TTTTTTTTTTTTTTTTTTTTTTTGGTGCATTTGGAGACTAGTCCATGATCTTTTAAAGCTCCTCGCTTTGCACCCAATTAGATGCATAGAATCTGTCCTTGCACTGTCTTTCTGATGTGATTCCTATGGGAGAACTTGGCCTGGGACGTGGCCAGGAGAAGCCTGAGGACCGCTCTGACACGTGTATCCCAAAACCTCTTCTGCACTGAAATGCTTTGAGCATCAGAACTGTGCAGGCTGTCTTCATGGGTCTTGTGAGCCCTGAGCAGCTGATTTAGCTTCAAACTCATAAATGGCTCTGTTCAGCTGGCACTGAGCGGCTGTTTTGGGCCGCATGTCCCTGTGCCAGGGCCTTGCCATTCCTCTGCGGAGCGGTGTCTCTTCCCTGGGGCTGAGCCTGGGCTGCTCTCGGGATGGCTGGAAGCGTGGTGGGATGGTGTGGGGGTGCTGTCTGCAAAGGGGAGCGTGGCTGAGGTCTCTGTGGTGTCGGGGGAGACCCTGGCAGGGCGGCGCAGGGGAAGCGGGGGGCCGGCAGTGCGAGGAAGCCAAGAGGTTCGGTCAGACGGGCAGGTGGCGAGTGCCCAGGGTGCTACAGCAGAGCCAGCGGGAGCGTGTGACGTGGGGCTCGAGCAGAAGGTGACCCTGACAGGGTAGCTGCAGGCATGTGGAGGTCGGGGATCCTTCGAAGCAGGCTGTTAACTGAGATGATCTGTTTTTATTTCCTCAGAGCTCTTGTCTATGCCAGCCGTAAAACGATTTTCTGTGTCGTTTGCAAAGCATCCAACTAATGGTACGTTTGCTTCCTTGATTTGACGTTCCCTCACACTTCTAACCCCCTGCTCACATTCAGCTCTCTCTGCACACGTGCTCCTCTCAGCCTTCTTGTGGTTCTCTGTGTCTGTGTATCTGGTGTCCCAACATGCTTCACCCTCCCCCATTGTCTCGTTGTCACTAACTTGATCATTCACCCCTCCGTTACCGCCCGGCGGTTCCTCTGCTGTCCCCCGAGGTGTTTGTGTCCCAGGTGACAAAGCAAGAGCGGTGGCTCTGTGAACGGACTCCTAAAGCAGCCTCTAATTCCGCTGCTGGCATTAAGCCCTTCTGTCATGCTCCCTTGTTGGGGGGTGGAGGTCAGGGGGAGAATACCACTGGATTTGGGGGGCGCAGATAGCCACTACATATTCTATAAGAGCATCAGCAGCTTAGGTCCTCGATTTCTACGATGCAGATTTGCAGGACCAAAGCCAGGCTATCCTGAGGCTACCGATGTGTCACCTGGACGGGCACAGTCTGCGGTGGGAGAGAAGGAGGTGCTGACGGTGTTCCCTCTGCACGTGATATTCCTCAGCACAGTCGGTTTAGGAGTACGGGCAACCTCCTGGCTTCCTATGGGCAAACTTGTCTGTCAGGGTGCTCCCTTGGTTGCTCCAGGCATGGAGTTTGGTGGCAGTGGGCTCACCTCTCCTGCAGACCTTACCCTGGGCACGGTGTCCCTCCAGATCTTTCACTTATCTGGTGGTGATGGACGATGCTGGCTTGGACCTGCTGCCTTCCTGCGGTCGGAGGGGTCGGCACCGTGCCAGCCGGGGGGATGTTCCTGTTGTGCTGCAGCTATGAGGAGGCTCGGTGAAGGATGTATGGCAGTTCTGTGGACTCGCTGTCTGCTTGGTGTTGCTGCTGACCTAACCTCTGAACTGTGAGTCTTCCGAGGTTAAAACCCATTAGCTCCGTGGTAGCAGATGCCTTGAACCGGTGTTTGTTATCCAAGTCC